TAGGACTTACAAACAGCAATCGAATGCTCAGACTCTAAACTTCGAAGTCTAATGACATCTGGTCGCCACCAATAGCTTAGAAAACTGGTTTCGTTCGCCTACACACAAGCACATACAAATAAAAATGTGAGTGATATTTTCTAGCGAAAACGCCACAACTCTTCAACAATCTTCAATTACGAATGCGTCAAAAACGTTTTAGCTACGTTTATTTAGTTATTTGCACATTGCTCGAGCGCGCTCAGCAGCGTTTTCAATAAAACTACTTATTATTTACACAGCTATACATACACACACATACTTTTATTCTATATAACTAACATTACGTAAATATTTGTCAAGCTAAGCCATTATTCGCGTTTTCTTTACTCAATTCTGAGCACACTTCGAGTTCGATCAATTGCCTTTTGCCGTAACTAATTATGCAAGAATATTCGTAAAAAAATCGTTTCATATGTGTCTCTGTGTGCGTAGCAATTAGCATTAGGTAGTTATGTATATATTTATACATATTGGCGTGCGTGGGCCTGCTAAACCACATTCTGTGCGCAAAAAACTGAATGATTTAAGTCGATGCATAAAGTTTATGAGCGCTGAGAAGGCAATGAGCTGTGACATGGGCCTGGCATCGCAGTTATTGTCGATTGTCACCAAATTTACAAATAATATTGTAAGTAAATAATAAAATATATTGTGTACATGTATACAGTAATGGCCAGCTAAAAGTTGTATTGGCACGGAACAGACTATAGTAAAATTAGTAAAACAAAAGATAAACAAGAAAAAACATTAACTTCGGCTGCACCGAAGTTATAATACCCTTTGCAGGCACTGTATTTTTTATAGCATAAAAGGATATAAAAAGATCGTTATCTTGAGTTTAATCGGTCTGTTAATATGGCAGCTATATGCTATTGTATTGTAGTAAGTGTAAAACTTCGTGAAGATACCTTATCAAATAAAAAAGTTTTCCATACAAGGACTTGAGTTAAATCGGTCAGTTTGTATGGCCAATATATGCAATAGTTGTCCGCTCTAAACAATTTCTTCGGAGATTGTAGCGATGCCTTATTTAATAATCTATGTTAAATTTCATAAAGACGGCTTGTCAAATAAACAAGTTTCGACGATTCCAACAAATGAGCAGCTTCTTGGTGAGAAAAGGACATGTGCAAAATTTCAGATCAATATATCGAGATCCGAGGGACTAATTCGCGTATATACAGACGGACATGACACAATCGACTCATTTGTATACCTCTCCGACGTTTCTATTTGGGTGTTCTGTGTATAAACATCACAACGGAAGATACAAATTCATATTTTTTTCCAATCCAATTTACAACCGATGCGTTTAAAGACACACCCTATATTTATACTTTATTTATTCTGCTTATAACGAGCTCGAGGTTTTCACAAGGATGTTGCCTATGTTTACAAAAACTTAAGGAGAAAGATCAATTCTAAGGTTCTTAGCTAACTATTATTTTCCAATATCTCAATGGTAGTAATGCGAGTCCATTAAATAGCCAGAAATAAAAACAGCAGTAAAACTTAAAGAAATTCAAACACATTAGTGCTCATAAGTCGTGTCTTGTCGCATGGCTTTATATAAACTTACATATAACGTACTACTAAAAAGAGGACCTCTGTTTGTACATGGGAAGTACATAAAAGCTCGGTTCTCGTAGTTTCAGACAAAAATTTATTTTCGGGCATTTGATTTCATAAATTATCTATACCACGAGGTCCTTACTGATGCTTTAAGAGCGAGCTTCTTTCTTATCTTATGTCCACACATTTTCATTTCTTCTAACGACACAGTTCTGTTGTAACAATTATTGTAAAAGCTGTTTTGAGGGCTTTGTTAATGGAGCGGAGAGGAGTTGAGTTTTTATATTCAGAGAGTGCCTCCAGATGGCACTCAAGTGATAAATAACGATCAGGTGTTTCGTACATATCCAGAAAACGTTATTAACGATTATAATCAAATATTGTTTTCAAAAATTCAGAACTGACCGAAATTTGATCCTTCTTCTTTAGAGCCAATTTTCGCATTTTCACAATTGCAATATAAAGGCATATATTGTAGAAGTTTCAAAATATGTCTTACTTTGAGGTTAGGGTCAAAGAAGCATTAACCCATTTATATATTCAAGCTTGGCTCGGACAAAAGTATTTACTCCGCCCGCGCAAACCGAATCGATAAAAATATTTCCTAGATTGGTTTAACCGAACAATTAGTGTGCGGTTGCGAGCTGTTTATTAACGACGCGAAAAATTTGTCCTGTGATTATTACTATAAAAAATATAATGAAAACAAGTTTGCCTCAAATTTGGTGTTTCCAATAGAATCACGGAAATCGTTAAAAATGTTTCAAACGAGATGTTTGACAACATAGCTGAGAACTCTACATTCATCAAACGCATCATTGGGGGTGACGAGACATGGGTTTATGAATATCACGTCACAACTGTCCAACAATCCAGCGAATGGCGCTGCAAAAATGAGCCAAAACCGAAAAAACCAAGTCAAACACCGTCAAAAATCAAGGTGCTAAACATCGTGGTGATGTGGTTCACCATTAATTCGTTTTATAAGATTAAACGGTCAATAAGGAATACTACTTGGCCGTTTTGAGGCGTCGTAAACGACCTGCACTGTAAACAGAAAATGCATGGATCTTCCGCCACGATAATGCGCCATCACCTTGTAGTATAATTGTGACTAACTTTTTGGTCAAACACGAGACGAGAGTCATCGCTAAGCCACCGTATACGGTAGATTTGGCTCCCTGTTACTTTTACGAAACTAAAAAATTCGTTTCAGGAACGCGCCATGAGTCCATTGAAGGTATTAAAAGTCATTGCTGAAGGCACTGAAGGCCATCCCAGCCGAGGCTTATAAAAGTGTATGGACAATTGGATTAAGCGTTGGCTTACTTGTTTGGCGCAGGAACCTATTTTGAAGACGGTAATAAAGATTTTATTACATGACAATGTTGTTTTTTGTCAGTCCGCTATGGTAAGTAAGTAGGAATTTGAGTTTTCAAATATTTTCTAAAATTTTTTCCTATTGCGGCGTTGTGGTTATTTATCTGTCCGAGAGTGTTTTGCTTATAGATTCAAATTTTATTTTTTCATTAAATTGCTCTGTCATATTATTAGCATATCTACGCGATCTGTCCGTGTTACACTCATATACATATATATGTACATATACAAAAGTATATATATTTAGCATGTGCCTAAGCGGCCTTGACAATCAAATTGATTTTTTCGACTTTTTTAGCACTGTTGCCTCCTCCAATTCAATGCCAACAACTACCGTGGCCCTTTTATGGTAATGCGAGACAGGAAATCAGCACAAAAGAAATTAATCTCAGGCATTCTTCAGTGTGTGCTTGAGCGCAGTAACATGTGTGCTCCACTTACCGATACAGATGTATGTCATGTGGTGGCCATCGATTTTATGGAAGTGTGATCTTTAAGTTGCTATAAAGCAGCACAAATACATACATACATATAATATATGCACTAGGAGTGTACTTATATCTATTTTTAAATGCGTTAATGTTTGTATGCCTTTATTTGGTGATTTGACAAATTCAGCATATGACAATAATGAGCGATCAACGCAGTTTTGGAATGGAAATTTTTTAAATATTTAAACTATTATTATAGTCGCTATATATGTGCAGTAATTAGTTGAATAAATTTTTAATAAATTGAACCAAAATTTTGGTTTAGCTGCACCTACAACAGAGACCAAGCGTACTTATAGATATTTTCCATATCTATGACAGCCTTGGAGGCACACTATACCTAGATCTTTTTTAATGATAGTTAGACGTGAACACGATTTTTAGTTTGGAATCAACTGTAGATATTTCAACGAAATTGAGTATTTATATATCCGCTGTTCATTCCCCCTGACATTTGGGTCTGAACACACTTAGAGGGAAAACCCATAAAGTTTGTTTAGCCGTCGGCAGAGTAAGTTTTAAAGCTGCTTTAAATAATTTAAGGATTTCGATATAAATCCAGAGCCAGTCTAATAATAAATCTTTAATTGAAAATCCATGTATAGTAAGCATATTTAGGATCAAGAGACTCCATTTGGCATTATTTCGCGGACTGAAGTGTGTTTATTTTTCGGAAAATTTTCATCGCATGAAATAGGCGAACTTTCTAAGAATATCTTGGAATATTTATTCTCAAAATATTTACCAAGGGATTTTTTTAGTAGCAGCTCTCTTAAGTAACGTAAAAAGGTATAAAACAATATCCAACTTAAGAGGACCTTCTTATAGTGGTATGCCGATCATTTATACTCGATATATATGGTGATAGAACAATCAGCCACTCAGGCTAAACTCAACCAAAACAAGGAAAATTCGCGTACAGCCAGTACAAAAAGGAAGAAATGTATATCTCTGTGAATTGAAATTAATTTAAATCGCTTAGAAATACTAGTTAAACACAAGTGATCAAAAAATAAAAACTTCCTCGTAGAGATGGTCTCGATTAACCGACGAGGTCGTTCGATTTTTTTTTACTTAACAAACCAGTAAATAGCAGTTATGAAAATGTGTAGCAGTTTTTTTTTAATGACGTCATGATTTTATTTAAATGTTTTTATATCTTTAAATTATTGGGCTCACATGCACATGTTAGAGTCAGTTTTGCCAAACTATCAACCAAGAAAAATATCCATTTTTCTGTACAAATCATTTCTCTGGTTATAACCCGTTTCATTCATGGTAATTATTTATATATTTATCACGTATTGTCTAATAGTAAAAATTGGCAATTTCTTGCTGAGATATTTATCTCAACGAACATCGTACAACCACAATATATTAGTTAATCCGCATTAAAGCCACTTGCGCCATAATTTTTCAAATTTCATAATTCAAGCTTATTTTTGCATATTTGTTTTTGTACTTTATTCTCTACACACATTTCCAACATGTATCTCATTTTTATTTATATCTTACCTTAGCGCCAAAACTTCCACACCACGCATTCTTTTAATTATGGAGACATCGCTGAGATCACTTCCCCTGCAAATAGCGAAAAAACAAAACAAGAAGTATTTTTAATTAAAACTTGTTATGAAACAATTTATCTATAATATGATCAATTTTTTTGTCTATTTTGATAATTAATTTCGTTATGAATAAGCAGGGCAAAGGCAATCACCCCAGAGAAGGCAAAAGTTCGTCTACTTCTATTATAGAGTAGGTTTTAATAATTGAGATATAATTTGATATTGAAAGTCAGCATGAAAATGTCGTTAAAATTATCTTAATCTATACATTATATACATACTTATAAGTATATACGATACAGGTGTCTATATATGTATGAATAGATGTTTGAAGTATAATCTAATTTCTATATTAATCAATGGAAAATTAACGTTCACTATTTGGTACATGTTTTGAAATTAGGTCTAACATACATATCTATATCTACCATAGACACAAAATTAAAATTGAAAACAGTTTAACTTGAGGGAATTATTTAAAGAAAGATGGTACTACAAGTATTGCTATTTAGGCAAGTCTTCATAAATGGCAATTCTAATCTGAATATGTTAAATCTGGCATTTTTATCGCAAAATTCGAGCTTTTTAATACTAGGGGTAAAAAAACTTTGAAAATGAAATAATTAAATAAATATTATGTGCGTTTATTCTCGTGAAAACCATTTTGAAACGTAATAAACCGATTTCCGATTATAAGCATATCTTCATAAAGGTGCAACAATGCTTCGATACTCGATATTTCCACAAGCATAAAATATACAATACCAGACAGATGAGATAGGTTTTAGGCTTTCAGCTTACTAGACCAACGTATTATCTGAGAACCAACAACTCGAAAGCTTGATGGGAATATTTGAAAGCTTTTTCAGCCAGTATAAAAGAACTGTTTATAAAAATACAATCCGCATTGTATAGGAACATAAAAACGGAATGTGTCATAGGATATAGGAAAACCAAGTAAATAATATTTTGGCTTCACCTAGTATTTTGACTGAACAACAGCAAGTTATGTAAAACATTCGAGGTAAGTATTTTATAAATTATTTCACAAAAACAATAACCATTCTAATAGTATTTACAACTAGAGAAACAACGCAAGCGCAAAGCTTTCATGTTATTATGCAGCTGTGATCGGCATAGGAGCCGCTTTCTTACAAAGAATTGCAACCAAACTTGTTTTTATGCACTATCATTCTGCTATAAATATATACCATATATAGTATGTAGTTCGCAATTGGAACCTTGTGAGAATTTTTTTAGAGTAAAAGTTCGTGAAAGGTGATGATTGTACTGAATCTTGAAATATACTTAATGTTTACTAAATATTCTAAGCAGTCTTAATTGGTAATAAGAACCTAGCAAAATATCTCGAATTAGAAATAAAATATTTCAAATAAATTTCTTAAACTAATTTGAACCAGGGCTCTATACCGAGAGTTATGGTATATCAAACATGACTCTAATAACTTTTATAAAAATTAATGTGAGTTATTGCTGGATAGCCACTGTATTCTTAAGTAAACAGGTTACCAACACTATAAACATTCTTTCCTCACATTTTCTTACAGGGTTGCCCTTGCAGGCTTACATTTAAGCTTGTATTGGGTTAAATGAGTGTGTCACGCTTGGAAAAGTCGACTACGGCGGATTAAGTGGAAAACGCTTGACCGCTGGCATGAACTCCACGTGCATGAGCAAAGCATTAAGATGGGAGAATTACTTGAACCAGAAGTAAAATAAGGAAAAATATGCGCATTAGATTACCTCGAAACTAGCACGCTTCGAGTGTAAATTAAACTTTGCTTAAGATTGTTTATGTTTACAATATGATAAAACATATCATATATATAATTATTAATATATAGAATAGCATGTTCATTTATGTATGTACTTATATATGTACATATATTGTAAATAAAGCTATTTCTACTATTCAGAAAAATGCCTCGTTTTGATTATCACTTATCATTAGAAACCGGCATTTTCTAATAATAATAACTTTATTTGGGCTCTTCTTTCAACAACTGTGGTAGCTTAAAAAATTATTATGAAATAGTTAAGAGTCGAACTTCAGGAATTTCTTATTCTGACGTAACAAGAGCGTTACCTGATATATAACCGGTTTTATGCTGTCACCTCAGTTTAAGTTTCCGGTATACGCCCGCAAAATACAAAACGTACACTACGAACTTTGAAAAAAACAATAGTCAATATTTTGGAATCTATTCAAATACGAGTTTTTAATAAGAACATTTAGAGGTGTAGAAAGAAACTTAGTTAACTTTTTTTTTACTTTTTTACAGCTAGAAGAAAGTAACGAACGAGTCATCGAAAATTGAACTCAAGAGATGAACCATCTGTGACGTAGCCGCGGCCAAAATTTGAAAGAGATACTCTTCAAAAAATAAATGCCAAAGAATGTTCTTTCGAATGATAATAAACATTCCCCATTAAATTTGAATTTTCTGTGTTTTTTTCTTTAAAAAAGTAGGAACTTAAAAATGGGTCACCCTTTACATTAGGTTGTTGCGAATTTTGTAACACCCATAAGGATACGTCTGTTCGTCTGTCTGTATATACGCGAACTAGTCCCTCAATTTTTTTGATATCGATCTGAAATTTTTCACACGTCCTTTTTTCAAGAAGCTGCTTATTTTTTAGAACCGCCAATATCTGACCCCTATAACGTATAGCTGCCATCACACAAATTAAGTTCTTTTATAGAAAACTTTTTCATTTGACAAGATATCTTCACGAAATTTGATATAGATCATTGTATCATGTGTACATATATGAATAAGAAAATCAATTACCCGTGTACCCCATATATATAAACATATACACATACAAATATACATATGCATATATGTATATCCATTGAATTCAAGACATATGTATATGGTATATAAAACGTACTTTTTGTGCGCGACAATAAAAAATAGACAATGTATGTACATAGATACATATGTACATATGCAGTACATACATTAATGCATTTGCCATGCATCGGTACAAATAAGCAACAAGCAACATCCATAAAAAGAGCCAACTTAACGGAAACTTAACGAGAAATCTTAGATTTACACGAGAAGACCCCATTTATGAAGCTGTGGTGAAAGTTCGTAGAAAGAAGTTGATGGCGGCACATTTACCATAGGTGCACTTAAACCTTCATGACTATATATTAATGTATAAATGTTTATATGTATATGTGTATGTATGTTAGGGTGGACCAAAAAACCGAATTTCTTTTTCCGCTTGGTACTCGGAACAACTGCTTAAGCTCTCTAAGTATCAGCTCTTAATTGTAACGAGAAGGTCCTCCGCTTTACCGTTTTTTATGCTTTTCTTATGATCGCATAGAAAGAAACATATCTAGCTTCCAACTACTTGAGAACATATTATTTTCATAGATTATGTAGGAAATTGATTCTACAAAAATGGTTTATATAATTTTTCGAACACAAGGAAAAACCAGAAAAATGGAGATAATTTTTGTAGAGCAGTAAATTTCTATACATAAAACGAAATATGTTTTCAAGTGCATCGAAGTAAGATAATAAGAAAAATATAGATAACGGTAAAGCGGAGTCCTTACCGTTACAATTAAGCCTTGATACTTGAAGAACCTTTCTTAGAGGTGTCTACCAAGTAATTGTTCGGAGTATCAAGCGAAAAAAAACATTCGATTTATTTTTACCCACCCTAATATACATATATATCACATGTGTACGTAACATGCCACAAGCAGAACTTTGACTTGGGGTCTTCATTTAAATTCCGCTTTAAAAACTCAAATTATTCACTGCAGCGCTTAATGCACGAATTTACTCTTCCATTGTACTCATCTATGATGTGTAGATATGCATGTACACATGAACTATCACAACTGTAAATTTGGTTTTACATTATGTATGTGCTCGTATCTAAAAGGTTTACAGACTTTCCCATTCGCCCGAATTTTCACTATTCTACAACAATACGCTTTTCAAGGTTCTTGAGAAAATAGAAACATATAACTTGTTGTTTATTTTTGTTGTATCCAGACTCTTTGTGCGATTAACATTTCCTTAATAGATAACGTCGCATTGAAGTGTGAAAATAAAGGAATATAGGTATATTTATATGAGAGTATGATTAATCATTCTAATTGTTAAATACACACTCATAAATACAGATTAGTGTGAATAGAAAGTCGGGTCTATTCCGACAAATATTCAATACAATATACTTGTGTATTAAATTCCATTCAAATATCCTAAAACTGACGAAATTTTTTTATAATATCTAAACTTCGCCTTAAAAATCGCTAAATCGAAATCGGTTTTAGGCCCATAGATTACTAAGCAAAATTGCCAAGAATATCCGTAGAAAAATTTTCGACAGTCGCAGTTAAAATCATTTAATAGCAATTTATGGCTCACTTTTCGAGATAACTTAGCAACCTAACTGTCAAAAATATAAAGTTTCTCTATACAAGATCAATTAGTTTGTATGGCAGCTATAAGCTATATTGATCCGACATCAGCGTTTCCGGCAAATGAGTAGCTTCTTAGGAAGAAGAGGATGTGTGCCAAATTTCAGATCGATATCTTGAAAACTTAGGGACTTGTTCGCGTATATACAGACAGATGAACATATCTAATGCACTCAGCTCGTCACGCTGATCATTTATATATTTATATACTTTATAGAGTCTCTGATGTTTTCCTCTAGCTGTTATAGACTTTGTTGCAAACTTAATACACCCTTTTCAAGGTATGAAAATAATACACATGAGTACTACAATGACTTGAAGCAACAATTTCTTATTCAAAAAGCTTGAACTTTGTTTAATTCATGCGTATTTTTATGCATTGAAGCTAACTAAATACATTTTATGTTTATCAAATTGCAGTGGTAAGTGATGCGTAACCGTCATTGTCTAAATATACAGTTGCGAGCTATAAAATTGCAGTGGCAAATAACATTTGTAACACACATATGAATCTTGCAAATCAGATGAGATTTGTTACAAAAATTAAAACGGATGATTGAAAGGTCGCTTCCGCTTTTTCAAGGTTTCAAGCTATGGCTATAACACAAAGGACAATAAAAGAAATATTTAAAATACTGCAAAGACCTTTTCTGAAAATGTTGCTCTTAAAGCTCTTAGATTTCAAGAACTTAAAGTTTGTAGTGAGCAAAGAGCGAAAACATTCAGGCACACACCACAAACACGTAGAAGAAGAAAGCCCAAAATTTACTATGAACTAAAAACACATTAACTTCGGCTGCACCGAAGCTAGAATAGCTTTCACGAATAAAGAAGTTTTCATATAATAACTTAATTTTGGTCGGTCAGTTTGTGTGGCAGCTATATGATAAAGTGGTCCAATCTGGAAAATACCTTCAGATATTATAGCGTTATTTTAAAAAATCATACATACCAAGTTTCGTGAAGATATACTGTCAAATAAAAATTTTTTTATGCAGAACTTAATTTGATTATTCCACCGATTCTCAAAAGCTGTAGGACTAATTCACGTAAATACAGACAGACAGACATGGCTAAATCAACTCAGCTGGCTAAATCAAGATCAGCATAAAGGATCATTCGTATATACATTTTGTAGGGACTATGACGTTACTTTTTGGTTGTTACAAAGATCGTGGCAAACTTAATATACCCTGATGAGGATATAAAAAACATACTGAACTGGGTAAATTAATTTTTGAAAGTGCTTCTTTGCCCAAAAGTAATTATTTGAGGCTATAAACATTTTAAATCTAATATTTCTTTGAACGCCACTGTACATATTCAGTTCATAAACGTGCTTGTGCATATCGATCTTGTTTATAGTTCGAGGGCAACGCCATTCGCAGGATTCGGCCAAGCGTGACCACCACATATTCACACATATATACACATACATATACGCATACAAATATTCATAGATATGTTTTGCATGCATACATACAAACATAGTTATAAACTCCTATGTATTAGTGGTTTGCTTTGTTGCAAGTGTGAGAGCCAATAAAGTGCATGGTAATTAAATTCACCGCCTACAACAACAACAACAACACACTGAAACTGCAATTGCAATTACCTCAACACTGGACAATAGATAGTAAGACAGAGAACAGTGCAGAGAGAAAGACGAGTTCATAAAATGCATAGCGTTGACAATGACGCCTCATGTTGTTGTAACGAAGGCAATGACACCATCAGTGATGCCGCCAACCACAACGGGCAAACAAATCAACAGCAAACAAGCAACAAAAATAATAATGATTATGATGATAATGCAATTGAATGAGCGGCGACAGCGAAAAGCAAATTGGTTTAATGTCCTCATGCAAGAATATACATATTTATGTATATGTGTATGCAAATACATATGAGTACATAAATGTGTACATAGTTTCTTGGAAGCATTTATACTTTCCCTGGGAATACAAAGGGCGGAAATATCAGATGGAGTGCCGTTACGTAGTTCATGAGAATTAGTTATCCTTTAGTATGCCTAGGCTTAAGGCGATTTCAACAAGATCTGTGGCTTCACTAACGATACCTCTTCCAGTGAATCATACCATGGGGCCCCTAAATGTTTTAAGCGTTGTCTTGCCAATGCGGCACAAGTGCAATAGAGATGCTCCATTGTTTTCCCGGTACCTACCGCCTATTGCATGACTTTTGCAATTTTGCACTCCGATAGATCGTGCCATCGCGTTTTGACCTGGCCGTGTTCCTGTCCGGATCGTCGTATAGTCGATGCATGGGTTCAATAATATCGGTCACGATTTCAGATGACAACCGTACACCACTCTCGGCAATCTCGTCCGCTATCTCGTTGCCATCTATGCCTTTGCGACCTGGCACAAAATAGAAGTAAAGTCGCTTGTTCCTGGCGAAACTCTGAACTGCTGTCCTGCGTCCTTAGACACCTTTGGCCGATATGCGAATCGATTTGAAATATACTGCATTGGTCCAGCAGCTTAAAATACTATCTTATGCCTAACTCCAGCATAATATCGCCGCACCAACTTTGTCCACCATTTTCGAGCCGTCCATTTAAGTATATGTTTAATGTGTTGCTCGCAGCAATGTATTGATCGAGGTTTGAATATTTTCCTTTGAAAATTTCACAAAATCTTTATCAAATATGTATCCTCCGAATAATAAAAAGTTTGAACAAAATTTTTCATTTTTTTATATGAAAAAAAAGATAATAAGAAGTTTTTTGCTCGACTAAGACCCTGTAAACCCTTAAAGAGAGGAAAACGTGGAAGAAGAGGCTCTTGCTCTGGGACCACGTGGTTACAAAGGTTGCTGATAAAATCATAAAATTTAGATTCTTATCTAACATTTTCTTCTTATTTAAATCACTCCTACTAATTTCTATTTATAATTCTTGCGTTGGAGAAACTAATGTGCAGGGAGATCTCACAAATTTGGTTTCGAAGACTTTATCAAACTCAAAATCAAAGAAATAAAAAGGAGTTACAAATATAGATACATTGTTTTCAAAAAAGCTCGTAACTGATCAAATTACCTTGTTATGTGCTTACACATGTATATAGCTAAATATGTATGTATATAAAAAATGTCATTACTTACCAGCAATTGAGCTTTTTGATGGACCCCAAATCAGATTGCTTGGAGCGAGCAATGACCATTTCCTCGGTGAGGCGTGTCATTGTTTATTTTTATTTTTTCTGCTTTTATTTTTGGGTTTTGTATTAGTACGGCTACGTGTTATTGCTGTTGTATTTTTTTTTTTTGTAATTTTTTTTATTTTATATAAATTTGGTATCTCTTATTTCGCGTACTTTTATTGCTAAAACAACAAATTAAGAGAAAATAAGCAAAACACTTCACTTCCACTTCATTTATGTATATATTATATAAACATATGTATTTGTATTTGTATGTATATGTATATATAGTTATAAATGTACAAGTCACTTTCGTAAGCGCCACGAGGCAAAGCACAATTACACAAGTTAAATGCACAAACTAAAATAAAAAATCGCGGTACACACACACACATTGCGAAGAAAAAATGCCAACAGGTTTTGGCGTGGCGCGTTGTTGTGGCAAGCGCCTGAGGGGCTTTTCTTTATTATATGCCGCAATTTTCCTATATGCACATATGTATGGATGTGTGTACGCACTTATATACACATATCAGATCGTTGCGTTTACATTGCAACTCGTCGTAAAAGCTAAATGTGCAACATTGCAACTGTTGCAACAATAAGCTGACGCACCAATACGCTATAATGCCCTTACCGCTCTCTAGCTGTGGCACTCTTTCCGCGTAAGCGTTTGCTAAAATTACTAATACCACATGCACACATACACAAATGTGGCTTGTGCTAACCACATGTATGTAGATATGTATGTATGTACATTATAAATATTGCATTATGTCAGATTACTTTAATAATAGTCCCCTTCTGACCGCTTTGCCTATAGCAATCAAGTTTTACTACTTCTTTTTCGTCTTCGTCTTCCAGTTATGATTTTATTTGTTGCCGCCTACATTCCAACCTACAAAAATTCGCACTTACAGCAACAACACATGCATACTTGTTATTCATTTGTTGTTGTTGTTGCCACCGATTATAATTGCATTGATTGCGGCAAGTAAACTACCCTTTTGGAATGCAGTTGTGAATTAAAATATATATACGTAATTGTATATTTAAATGTACAGTCAAGCCTCTATAATTAGAACCATCCTTATTTTTTAATTTCATTACATTTTAATTACATTCCAAATACCATATATATTTTCATTACTCCTCACACTGCGAATTGAAACTAAGGTTGAAGAATTACTAAACTAAATGATCCATATAAAAGCTTGCCAAAAAACTTAAAAAGCTTGAAAAGTTGGATATATTTTATGTATGAACTCAATAAGGCTTAATAACTAGACTTCTATAACAACGCTTGGTAAAATTTTAGCAATTTAGTTTAATTTTTATTTTCCCCAACACCATAGAACTCCCAAAACACAGAAACTATGGTTCTTGTCTCATATCTGGAACAAGATGCAATATATCACGATCGTTCAAATTCGTCAATCAAACATAGACTTCAACCGAAACCAATGATATAATTTCTTAAACTGTACATAGAGCTAAAACTTGGATCTAATATCATATCCTCACTTTTGCAATATTTCAGGCACCAGACTTTCTTGAATCTTTTCCGAATTGCTTCCTTATATAACTTTGTCCCGAATACCAATACGAAACTTTTGTTCCGCTTTTCCTGACCCCAAAAATATTTTGTAGACCACAGTTTTACTATCCAAATGCCCATAGCTGATGAGACAGTCTCTTTTTATAAAAGCTGTCTATTCGACTTATGCAAATGTTTTCAAAAGAGAGGTTATGGTACAGGATGAGGCCTCAAAACAATACAAAAGCAAACGATTTAAAGAAGATATTATTTACAAAACATCAAAACAGAAGACAATATTTGATAGTTAAACGGAAATGTTCAGATTCCATTTCATTTAATTATTGACTATTACAAATGAATGAGGACTTCTTTCGACGCTTGTATGTATATGACAAATACAGGTCGCGCTCAGAAAAAAACTGTCTCACTCCGAGAAGAAAAATTTGTCCAACAGGATTTCATTTCGATGTTCTCTCCAGTAAAATAATTATCTGAATCTTTACCTATTAACTCAGATCGATACTATTTATCATTACACACCGTCCGAAAACACCGTAAGAAAAATGAGCGAAGTGAGTTTCAAACTAGGATTGATAGTTAGGAAGGTTTTGCAATGTATTTGGTGGGTTTGACAGAAAATCATCTAATATGAGCGGCACTCCTCCGGCCAAACTATCAATTCGGACCCGTACTGTCAACAATTGAACCGTCTGAAGGCAGTAATAGCCCAGAAGCGGTCAGCTTTGGGCAATTGGAGAGGAATTTTGTTTCATCAGGATAAGGCGAGGCCACACACACCGTTAGTGACACGCCAAAAGCTTTGGGAGCTTGGTTGGAAGATTTTTATGCATTCACCGTATAGTTCGGACCTGCCACCAAGTGACTACCACCTGTTCCTGTGTAGGGCGAATGATTTGGCTGGTGAAAAATCGTCTTACGAGAAGCTTGTGAAAAACGTTTTTTGCCAGCATGAATCAGGATTTCAATGAGAGCGGCATTATAAGATTAGCATAAGACATTGAACAAAACTATAGTTTTCTTCTTCTTAGACCTTATACATAGTTCAGCGAATAACAATTCGATAACCACAATCCAATAGTCTTCCAACTGCATTGAAAAATTAAAAATATTTTTGATCTCAGTGGGAAGTCTGCTGACGTTAAAATAATTAGATTTTTCACATAACGGTGCGGACCGACCGAATGGGAAGACACTTGTGGTTCGCCCATAGAAAAATTTGTTTTCATTCATAATTTCTGTTAAAATTTTTCATTACAAATTCAGAACGTTCTTAGCTAACCATGAGCTCTTCCTGGGCGTGCTATCGCTTACTAATACAGCAGTTACTTGACAAGTTTATCGCACATTTCTGTACTACTGCAGATTAATATGTATAATCGGATGTGTGCTACAGCATCTACTACAGCAGCGCATATCTGACAGATATCTCTTGTAATCACTAATGCAAATATGCGGCTATGCCAATGCAAAATCTTTCAGCTAAGCACGTTTGCACCAATTAGGCATTTCTTTACTGCAATGCGTTTTGCTACTTTCACGCTCTTATCGCACATATCCCCTTAATTTAGCTGTGCTGTTTTTTTGTTTAAAAAAAACCGCATCGATTTTTCGACACTTCCATACACAATTCGCTTTTCAATATTTTCCACTTCCAATTCGAAAGCATTTAGCAACATTCACCATTCACCACTTTCTACTTTTTTTTTTTTTTTTGTTTTTGCTTGTTTCATTCGCAACAATTGTTATTTTTTGCAAATTTTCATGGAAACTTTTATTGTTGTAATTTATTAATATTATTAGTTTATTTTTTTCTTATAACAAATTTTAATTAAGTAAAAACGCGTGAACGAGTTTTTCACAGTGAATTTTGGGAATTATTGAAAATTGTACGAGTGTTTCGGCTAACAGATTTTCCCAATTATGTTTTTTGTTACTTTTTTTGACAAAATTTTCTTCGATTCGCTTCGCACAGCAAGTGTCTGCGCTCACATCATCTCCACCGATTAATGATAGTAGCGTCGCCGTCGACGTCTGCATGCTCGTTGACGTCGCCGTCTGTTTTGTCTCTATATTCTGCTGTCACTCAAAACGCGCGCCGTTCGTTCCATGTTCAGGTAATTGCTTGCCGTTACTATATACATGCATACATAGAAGTGTCGTTGTATCAAAGAATCTTGACTTGAATGGTCAAACTAACGCCGTGACCGCTATGATAGTGACGCGTTAAAAGTATGCTTCTAAATTATAATTCCATATTACAACACAACACCACTTTCAGTTATACATATACCATACATACACATATGTATTACTATTCCACTCTATGGTAATTTACTCACATCCGTTGCCGACCATGCCGCGTCGCGTTTGTGCTGAGACTGTCAGCGCCGACCAACAGCTGCTGCTGTGGAAGCTAGTCGCTCCATCGGAATGTGCACTCCGCGCGCTCGGCGAATGGATACTTTTGTGCTTACAAACACATACATACACACCACATACACATGCGATGTTGGAGCTTTTTGCGGCAAATTCATCTTTTGTTTTGCTCCAGCGCGCATGAGAGTGCGGAGGGTGTTGGCGTGTAGTAAATAGTAGGCTTTGTAGTAAAAGCTAAATTTGACAGATATGAGTTATTGCTGGTTTGTTACGAAAAATCGAGTGATATGAAAACGTCACAAGGCTGTTCGTTTTTTTTTTAATATTTTATTTCTTTATCGATAAAATTCTTAAGAACTATGAATCAGTCAACGGATGGAGGCTTGCGTCATAATTAGGAAATATTAGCGCATGTAAATAATAGATGAAATAGGTAACACAATAGAATACACAATAAACAGTCAATAGTTTAAAGTTTCGAGTTAAAAAATATCAACTGAACAATTTGTTCGGAGATTTTAATTAAGATTTCAGGGGACTTCTGTCGTGAAGATATCTTGTCAAATATAAAAAGCTTTCCATACAAGGACTTCATTTTGATCAATAACTTTGTATTGCACCTTTATCATAGAGTGGTCCGATATTGGCATGCCAACAAATGAGCTGCTTCTTAGGGAGAAAAGCTAAAAAGCACATATGCAAAATTTCAGATCGATATCTCAAAAACTGAGAGACTAGTTCGATGTATATACAAATGGATAGGAAAACAGACATGGCTAAATCGGCTTATCTCGTCACGCTGTTCATTTATTATATTATATATTCATATAAATATTTTATAGGGTCTTTACATCTTTCTATGAAAATATATAGTAAGAAAGGATTTTCCTTACACTATCTTCTCTGCTTCTTCAGTTCAATAGATTAAAGAAGTGTTGATGAAAGAAGAAGAAAAGAGAAAAGATACCTATGCTAATTGAATTTCAACTATTACTGACATTGCGAAATTAGTTGCATTGGCTTCCCATAAATTAAAGCTGTGAACCCCTATGATCGTGCTGAATACAATCTTTATCACCTTAGCCTTTTCATTAAAAGACTCAAAATATGGAGTGTACATTCGTGCCAACTTTGGGTTCGTCGATTACGGTAATTTTGTTGTGAAATATGCACGAAGCCTGCGCAAATGAGAACCAAGCCAGGATTGACGGCCAGGAAGGTGTTGCTATGTGTTTGGTGAAATTTACAATGAGTTACTTCCCTACGGTCAAACTCCTCATTCGGACCTATACTGTCAACAATTGGACCACATACCACTGAAGACTTTAAACAAACATTTTTCAAAACTGCTGTCTTAGCTGAGGCCAATGATCATGTTAGACAAAATTTGTAACAAATCTGCTCTTTTAAAATCTCATAAGTTGTTGAAAAAATAGTTTTACAGTTATAAACAAAATTTGAAAAACTAGGTAGTCAGAGAAAAATAGAATATTATCTTAAAATATATATTTTTGAATTTAACGGTTTTTTGACGTTCAAAAAAATAAATACTTATGTATGTATTTTGTTCTCAATTCTTTAAACTAGGTCCATGTTTATAGTTAAAGAGAAAAACTGTAATCTTACGATACCTAATCTCAACAACGTGGCCATCGGTGTGGTCGGCACAGCGACGCTAAGAGTTGTTTGGTAACCAAGGAGACACGAATAATATTATGCTTGCAAGCGGTAAAAGTCCCATTGTCCAATGACCAGTAGCAATAACAAAACAATAACAACCAGTGTGGTGATTTGAAAAATAAATCGTTTCTCAAACAACATTCAATAGAGTTTAGTGTCTACGACTGTTTGAGTTGTTTCAAAAATAAAATATTTGTAATAATAATTTAATTTGTTAAAGAACTTTTCGCAAGAAAACATAATACTTAATATAAACAGAATATATTTTACTAGTGCATCACTATATACCCGTATATATATATTTAGAACTATACCATAGAGTCAAAAGAATACCCTCCTCACCAACAATAACTCAAATTTGTATAACATAAATGATCTCACCGAGAAAGTCAACATCAGCGCTGAGCCTCATACCGGAGGAACGTAGCAAATTGCTGCCGTAAGCTTCATTCATCAAGCGTTTCAATTATCTAAATTTATGTGTACTTGACAGGGTGTCCACAAAGAGCTGTGAAAGTCTCTACTCGAACACATCCAGTTCGAAGGGTTCGAGTAATAATTTATTTCGTCGCAAGAATGCTTTAAGCCATCAAGGTGCCGGTGCGAGCATGGGTCGCCACGCTACATTGTTACCCGCCACGACAGAGGTCCGCCAACGTGTGCTCTCCGCCCGCCGTCTACGCATGAAGACGTTTCAAAATCAATTGGTCGATGCACAACAAACCATAGCGGTACTATAATTAACAAAGTGAAGAATTTCTTTGATTTTGTATAATTTTTAGGATCTCGCACATGAAAATCGCATTTTGCGTACACTCCACAAGCGCCAAGACTCTGCTCTGGCTAAGTATGAATCTACCAACGCTGAGTTGCCAAAACTTTTACATTCACATGCCGAGGAGTTGCGCGTTTGGCAGGCCAAGTACCGTAATTTGCAGCAGCTCAACAAGGAGCTCGAGCATAAACTCAAAACCAAAGAGTCCATAATACTCACACTCAGCGATCAAAATAAATATTATAGTCAGTTGAATAAGGACAGGTGAGTGCTTGCCTATAACTGTATAGGTCCTCCAATTTGGGAGTAGCTAGTTGGTATTCGCGCCTTTCTCGAAGTATTTGGCAAAGTATGGAGGCGATAAGCTGCTTTAGAAAGCAGCTAATAGTTTTTAAGTTAATAACTTCAGTAGCTGTATATTCTCATCGCTGGATTAGTATGTGTGAAGTGTATTAGTGTGTGCTATAGCGAACCAATTCCACATACTATCTCTGGAACCAAATTACAATATCTACAAAAATATGTTGAGAAGATCCCCAGTTCTACGAACCCCCTATTTTACACCTGTCCCACCCTGAGTACAATTAAGTATAAATATTCGTTGGAAAATAGTTAAGATATAGTGTATATTTGGACTTGGCAAGGTGGCCGGAGTTAAATCATTTCGATATGTAACTTCAACATATAATTTTGAGTTATTAGTTCGATAGGAGCACGCAACCTTCAATCGTGTAATGTATTGATGACATGAAAAAATAAAAAATACAAAAATTCAAGAAAACTCATTGTCAAAAACATATTATTGACGTACGGAGATCAAGCTTCAACGATCATAGAATAGTTGTACCAGAAGTTAAAAAAAAAAGTTATAAATACGTTTTGCACGCGCAGTCCGGGTCAAATTTGATCAGTTGGTAGAAGGTTCTCTCAAACTCATTGACTTGTTAATTAAGTTGTCTCATCATTATTGACTAAAGTTTTGCCTAAAATTAATTCCAATTCATATCCAAAGCATGGCCTCTACAGTGCTCTCATACGCACGGTTACTAAACTTCTCAAATCTTGCAGAAATCTGGAAGAACGACAGCGTTTGTCGGAAAAATTGGAAAAGCTGGAAACTCGCTTGCAGGAGAAGGACAGCGATATGAAATTACTGGCGCGTCGAGTACAAATCGAAACGAAAAATTTTAAACAACAACTATTGGCAGAGCAAAAGCGCACAAAAGACGCGCTGCTTAAACTAGAAAAAGCGCGATTGGAGCTTTCTGGTTATCGCAAGCTGGACGAATTGGGCGTAAGTATAATTGCTTTATTTCTTTTTTTTTTCTTTTTGTTGTCATAAAAACTAAAAAACTACACATTTACTTTCGCAGGAAAAGTTCTCATCCACACTCACCGTTGGACGACGTAAAACGACTACAGTGGAGGAGGAATCCAAATTGGAAAAGGATTTGGAACGTATCTTAGCAGATGAGGTATTAGATGATGACGTCAAAGATTTGGAGCCAGAGTTTCATCCCACTGTTCACCGTGTAACGAAAACTCCCATGAATGCGAAAATTGAGACGCCTTTGGGTTATGGCAATCGTAAGGTGAGCTCATCCATTGTCGCAATGGCGAAGTCACAGAAACAGCGGCAGGAAGGCGGTGGCTTGAAATCAACAGTTAAGTCACCGCAGCGGTTATCCGGACATCAGTTACAACAACAACGTCAACAAAAGAAATCACAACTGAAAGATGAGCAGACACAGGAACGACTGCCTGCTATAACCGATTACGAAGAAGATTATGAAAACGAGCCAGATGATGATTTTCCCGTAGTGAGTGAACGCGATCAGAGCAATCGTTCCGTACGGGATTATGTCAGCATTGACGGCGGTGGGGATGGCGGTGACACCGAAAATGGTGAAGACCATGTCGACGAGGAAACCGAGGAAGAGGAAAGTGATTGTGCCAATAGGCATTCCGATCGGAAAGCAGATGACGAAGTTGGCTCACATGAGACCTACAACGCTGAATTTTTGGGAGAGGAAGAACATGAAGGCGAGAGCGTAAATGACGATGATGATGATGTAAGTTCGTATATTAATAGAATTGTAACGGAGGTACATACAAGAGCATCTGAACTTCTACAGACAATTACTTAGTCAAGCTGAACGGAAGAGAGTTAGAAAAGTGCAATTAATTTGGTAAAGGCGGGGAAGATTTTTAAGGTTAATACTAGGTTCATGAGGTCAAGTAGTAATACGTAAGTTTAGTATAATTTCCACTACGAAATTTCGCAAGTGAATGTACCGGATATCAGTTTTAGTTGAAGGTACACCTAAGTTAAGTCATGGTCCTCCAGCCTTGCTTATCAAAACTCTGAAGCAGAGGTCTAACAAAGGACACTACAAGGGACGCATGTCTGTGAAAATTAATCAGAATGCTTAACAAATGTATGGACTGAGTGCGGTCCTAATTTTTACGACTTTTGAATGTTTTAGTGATCTTCAATGCCTTTTAATAGAATACCGTATTAAATTTTATATTCGAAGTGTATCAGATGGCTAGCATCTCCACACAATCTGTCCCGTATTTCAGTTTTGAGATTACTACTGGTCTTCACATCTAACACTAGTTAATTGATGTCAAGTACAAGAGTTATAGCACTCTTTTTGAAAGAAACAAAAGATAACTAAGGCAGTTCGATACAAACAGGGAC